TTTCTCGTCGTCCACGTGTCGTCCATCCAACGCTTGAGTGAATTTTTAGGTCAACAAGCTCATTAGTCATGGATGATGCATCATGATGTGGCTGAGTGGTTAAAGTATTGGTTTCAGGGGCATTGGTAGAGTGAGTGAGATTGGCAGAGTGTTTGGGGTGAATTCTGGGGCCCTTTGGACCAATCCAGTTAGCAGGGTAGCCATATACTTGGTAACATTTATCAGATGGATGTGGATAACCACAATGAGAACATTTAGGTCTAGGTTTCTTGTCTTTAGTGTAGGATTGTTTTTGGGAGCTGAACTGAGAAGAGTGAGTTTTGGCTAACATGGCCATGGGCTCAGAGGTGATGATATTATTGTGTAAAGATCTTTGGGATTCCTCTTGGAGTAACAGGGAATATATTTTTGTGAGGCTGGGTAATGGAGAGGTTAAAAGAAAGTGACTGCGAAGTGATGCATATGAATCATGTAAACCAATCAGAAACTTCATCACACAGTCATGTTGTTGGGACTCGGCCATGAGATCAAAAATGTTACAAGTGCATGTAGTGAAAGCCCCACAATAACACCTAACAATAGGCCTATAGGTGACATACTCATCCCAAAGAGCCTTAAAGGCATTGTAATACTGAGTGATAGTTAGTGAACCCTGACTCATAGTGCTAAGAGATTTTTCCAACTGAAACACACGAGGTCCACTACTAACAGCATATCTATTTTTCAATTCATCCCACACATCTTTAGCAGAATTAAAAAACAACAAGGACTGCCGTATATCTTTAGAAATCGAATTCAGCAACCAAGACAAGACCAAGTTATTATCCCTAACCCATAAAACATACAGAGTAGGATCAATAGTAGAGGAAGGCGATAATAATGTACCATCGACGAAACCACCTTTGTTCTTCACACTGAGAGCCATGACGACGGCACGGGACCAGCTGACGTAATTTTCGCCATTGAGAAGCTCGGCGACAATCAGAGCACCCGGATTATCGCTAGCGTGTAGGTAGAACGGGCTGGATGGATCGTCATTAGGGTTTTGAGTGGTAGCCATTCAGATTCAGATGAAACCGAGTAGATCTAGGAGATATAGATCGAAAAAACAATAGTAGATCTAGGAGATGTAGATCGAAAAACAACAGATCTCAGAGATGGAGATCACGAACCAAAAAACGATAATCGGAAAAAAATATCAAAATTCGAACAAAGAATCTC